AAGATTCTTTTTCAGTGTTGGGGAAATGGGTAGTATCACTTGCAATAGCTTGGAGTATACTTAACAGCATCTCTTTTCTTCAGCAAGCTGTTCCAGATCAAGAAACCAATTTATAGCCCAAAGATGCATGTATGATGAAATTCACTGTGATGTTTTAATGTGAGAAACAAAATCGTTGGTGGTGTGCCCATCTATGTGAGCAAAGGAGACTGATTCATGGATTAAGCTTTATTCTAAGTTGAAATAATATGTTTGGATTGAAGAACAAATATTTGACAGAACAGATTAAATATGAAATAGAATAATTTGCTTTATTTAATGACATTCAAGGCCCTTGAACATTGCTTCTACCTTAGGGTCAGACAAGAGATTGTTTCTGCCAGCAATGTTCTAAGGTGAGCATTTTATCTTCTTAGAAAGACATCTAAGGTCTGATGGTGTCTGGGGGAGACTTCCAGGTGGCAGAATTCCAACAACTTCACCACCCTGCCATCTCCTATTCTGTCTTGTAGAAATGCCTGCCCTTATTTTTTTTTAATCACTCCTCAGGGTACTGTGTGCAGAACTCTGTGGTTCAATTACAGTAATGTGAGTTTTTAAAATTAAAATCAGCTGTCTCTTCATTACAGAATGAGCTTCCAACTTGAACTGGTTGTGGCTTTTGGAACCCTGCCTTGGGGATTTTTGGATCCTGTAAGTTGCAGAAGCTTTCTGAACTTTGTAAGTATCTCTTATTTCCCAAGTTGTAGAGGAAGTTCCAGGAATGCAGCTTTTGTAGGTTATCCCCACCATGATGCTATGACATTTTTTTAATGGTACGGCCACTTGGAGTCACTAATTCTCTAGAAAATAGCCCTTCACCCAGGCTTCTGTAAACAACCCGAATAAACTCAGTGTTTCGATACTGTAAACTTACTTGCAATCATCTCTTTGATCCTTTCTGCACTGGTGCTCTGTCTAGTAGAATAGACGTTTGTTCTCCTTTACACAGAAAAAGCCCAGAGCATTGGGCCACCTGGCCTCAGGAATGTAAGTTGAGATTTCGTGGATTCTCTGTTATCCCTCCAGCTGGCAACATCACTTTCTTTCCAGCTGGATCATGAGGCACCAGAAGAAGCAGAGCACAACTACTAAAGTCATAGGAATTGAGGATGCAGGGTCACCAAGAACCGGGTCTTTATTTGGTTAGAGTGCCTGTTTCTCTAGTGAATCACAGGGAACAGGAAGGGTGGTGAACTACTGAGTGAAAGAAACTATTAAAACATATTAGGATTAAATAATTAATCGCTTATTTAAAGTATCTAGAAATGCAGTGTTAATGAGTAGGCTAGAGCTACAGAAGGCATTTGTATGGAGTTCCGCAGTAAGAGGAGAGACACTGCATTTTGTCAAGTATAAATGGATATGCAACTTTAATAGCAAGGAGCAGACTGGATCTTAGGAGGTGGAAAATTGTTAGGAATCATCAGAGTGAAGGGCATTCTGATTAAACAGACCTACAGGAATCTTGCTGTTGACCATGTGAGGAGACATAGCCTGGAGCATGGATGGAGAAAGAGGCCCCTGATTGGAGAGGGAGGACTGTCAGGTCTGAAGGATGGAGGTTTATGCTAAAGTGACTTAATAGCATTGTTACCTGAGACAGGATGATACAAAGACTTGCACAGACAGGCTTAGAACAAGGTTTAGAGGTCTGAATTAAGATGATGCAAGTATAAATTAACAGATTTTGTAGAAACGAGTACTCCAATGACCTACAACAGCAATGTCCTACTCTCCCTGGCTTAAGCATTTGTTATTGTATTTCTTGAATTACAAATACTTTGGAGAAAATTTAGATTGCTCACATTTGGTAGTTTAGGGGAGACACATATTGTATTTTTTTTTTCTCCACTCACATGAAAAGCAACCAAATGTTTATTAAATATCATACAGAAAAATTTGGTGTCTCTGTGTGTATCAATTACTATTCTGTTGTGAGTTATTAATATATATTATTGATTTATCTTTTAGTTAAGCAGCGGTTATTCCTAAACCAGCTGTATACCCAAATCACCATAGAGACTAGGATTTATTTAATTAACCTAGAGTACAATGCTGGGAAATAATTATTCCATCCTAAACCTCCAAGTCTACATAGTTTCCTACCATTCATATTTCATGCATTATACATGCTTTTAGTCATATCTGAGGTCCGGTTCATCTCTCCTCATGGTTCCAAGTCCAATCCTGCTGATCCCTGCTCTCCTACTGCTCCCACCTGCTTCTTTCTCCTGCCCTCCAGACCAGGAAGTCCCACCTTATTCTCACCATTAACCAGCACTGACTGTTTAATTGACAATGCAGAGAACAAATGATGGCATGTTTACACAAACTTGAGACATGTGATGCTTAGAATAAATATCACAATGCAATGTCGGGATTGAAATCAGATAGCAGGGTAGAGAAACCAGCATTTGAATGAACAAGGGTAAATTGTATACATTCCAAAACAATATTATACCAACACTATTCTAATGATGTGATAAAACACCATGACCAAGGCAACTTGTAGAAGGAAGGGTTTGTCTTGGGCTTATGATTCTAGAGGCTTAGAATTCATAATAATAGGAGCAGCATGGCAGCAGGTTGGCAGGCATGACATCTGGAGCAGTGGCTGAGAGCTCACATCTTGAAATGAAAACAAACATAGAGAGCACACTAGAAAGTGTGTGGCTTTTAAATGACCACACTTAGTGACATAATTCCTCCAGTGATGCCAGATCTCCTAAATCTACCCAAACAGTGTCACTAACCTAGGACCAAATATTTAGGTCTCAAAACTATGGGGACATCTCATTCCAACCACTACACTATACAATAGATATTAGATATACTTAAAAACCTAAAAAATGGAGGTTAGACACATGATATTTCAGCCTAATTTATTCCATTTAAGGAGATTATACTTTGTCTTCTGTATTTTACATTTGGGGGAGGGCATGTATGTGGAGTTCAGAGGACAACATACAAGGGTTCCTTAAATTCAGATCACCAGGCTTTCTAGAATATGGCTTTACCTTGCAACATTTATCTTCAAGGCCCATTATTTATCTTTTTAAATGCCTTCTAAGCAGCTAGTGCCACTGACCCCCATACCTACAATACTTAAAATGGGAACTTTCATGCAATTAATGTATCAAATAGAGAAAAGAGTGACAGGTCACAGAGTGCTTCTGGGTGGTGCTCAAATGAATATCAACTAGAGATATGCAAATTATGATATATGTAAAATATGTAATTATGATTCTATTTTGACCAAATAAGTAAAATATTCATTGAAAACATTATTATAGAAATGTCATGGTGATTGTTTTTCCTGGAATGGATTTCTATAGTGAATATATGTTTTATATTGTTGAGAAAATCACAATATGAAACATTTCTGAGTCTTTTTTTATTGAAAAGAGATTTTTCTTTCATACAATACATCACGACCATAGTTACCCCTCCCTCCACTCCTCCCAGATTCCCCCCACCCACCTTTCCCCTCTTCCCCAAATTCACTCCCCCTCCATTTCCTGTTCGAAAAAAAAGGCCTTCAAGGGATGACAGCCAAGCCAAAGAGGTCAAAAAAAAAAAAAAAAAACAGACAAGGGAAAAGCCCTGATACCCCAGATACCCAGATATGGAGGGATTTTTCTCTCATATCAGCTCTATTCATAATATCCAGAAAATGGAAACAACCCAGGTGCCCCTCAGTCAAAGAATGGATAAAGACAACATGCTACATTTACACAGTGGAATACTACTCAGCTATTAAAAACAAGAATATCATGAAATTTGCAGGCAAATGGATGGAACTAGAAAATATCATCCTGAGTGAGGTGACCCTGACCCAGAAAGACATGCATGGTATAGACTCACTTGTAAGTACATATTAACCATAAAGTACAGGATAAACATGCAACAATCCACAGACCCAACGAAGCAAAGTAACAAGGAGGGCCCTCGGGAGGATGCTTTAATCTCACTCAGAAGGGGAAATAAAATGGAAATTTGAAGTAGATGGAGGGAGGAAACTAGGTGGAAGACGGGATGGGGAGGTGTGTTTTCTTCTATCTAAAACGTTCTTACATCTCTTTATCTCACATTTTAACACTGAGGTTCATGAAATGCTCTAATTTAAATCTCAAGATGGACACTGAATTTGCATAAGGCAAAACCCAGAGAGAGCAACTTATGGAATTTCCATATTTCTCATTAACCCTGTTCCACTTATTAGCAAAGCCTTTTGGTAAATGATTAATATATCATTAATTTGTTGCTAAAGACATAAAATATCTCTGAGCAAAGAGACTAATGCATAGCTAGCATCTTGGGAGACATTCACCTAGTCCTTTCATCCCATCCTACCCAAGCGTTTGACCTTGACTAACTGTTCTTTGTTTCCAGATATACTTTGCCTAACTACTCTCTTTTCTTAACAACTTTTACTTAACGTTTTAATGTGTATGTATGCTTCACCTGTACTACTTTTGTGTCTAGTGCTCAAAAATAGGCAAGAATAGGGTAATAAATTTTCTGGAACTTTAACAGTCCTGGGAACTGAATTCAAGTCTTCTGCAAAATCAGGAAATGTTCTAAATTGCAGTCATTTTCCTAGTTCCTCCTTAACTATTTTTGTGATAGCCACCTGGATCCAACCCAGACATTGGGGAAGTATCCTAGGGTCTGTACTCCCACCAGGAGGCATTACACTTGAATAATCTGACTCATGACTCCAGGAAATTTCTTATTCAAAGTTAAAACCGTGCTTAGGCTGAAAGTCCACTCGAAACACCTGAAAACATTTTATTTAAAACAATCCATGAAGCATACCATCAGGTACTAAATGAGTCAAGGACTCAAGGTTCATTCCCAACCTTCCTCAAAAAGAGGCCCTTGTACTTCTCTCCCATTGTCCACCAGGGCAACCCACACTCAATCCTTCAGGACAGGGTGAAATCAGATTTCTGTAAATGCCTGGAGCCCTACAGCCTCGGGTCAATGCTGCCATCAACACAGCCAATCATAAAGATATTAGAATGGGTGGGTGGGGCTTAGTAGCCACAGACTAGTGATTTAAAGACTGAATAGTGTGCAGCTGGGCTAGATTGTGGATTCCCAGGGACCTCTGAAGAGCTGAGTCAGCAGAGTGCACCAACACAGCATTGGACATCCCAGGTGGGGCCCTGGCTCTGCCAAAGTAGATTGGGGATGGGCAGGGCGCCCTGCAGGGACTCCCTGGAGAATGAGGAAGACCTATTACAAAGGAGAAAAAAATTTACCTTCAGGAGCGTTGGTGTAGAGAAGCAGAGGAGGATGAGTGGAGGATCCAAAGAGCCTACTGGGCCCCTTAGGCATCCACGTTCATACTAGATCCTTGAGAGCACAGTCTGAACCCAGTCACAGGGAGCGCTAGTTGGTTCCCTGCAAAATGGCAGCCATGCCCTACAGGTCCCATTTAGTTAGGATCACCTTTCCCCATATCAATATAATCTAAATCTCTGGTCTCTTTTGGCCTGTGCAGAAGAAATACCAATAAGCATGGCCCTGACTTGCATCTTCTGGTGGAGTTAAATAGAAGACCTGTGAGGTCTTGAGCTGAGAATCCTGGGAGCAGTCTCCTTTTTACCTCATCACGCTAATGGTTCTGGCTTCTAGAGGCAATATCTTATGAACCCCTTCCTTTTTGAGGCATTGAGTGGGGACTCAGGAGGCACAAGGACAACTATGGGTCAGAGGGATGAGTAGAAGTCTTTGCTAGGTTCTCTGGGAAGGACAGGTAAACTGTTATCATTCAAGAGAGGAGTGTCCAAGACACGGGGTAACATGGCAGAAAGATGTCCAATGTCCCTCATCTCTTGAAGTTTCCTAAGTCTACACAAACCCTAGGACAGCTCTGCCTCAGTCCTTAGTTGCAGGTTTAACTTCTGAAATCATGAGGTATATGAACATTTGTCTGAAAACTGTCACACTATTTACTGCTTCCTTCCCTATAGCCATGAGCAGCTACTACTAAATAGCTCCATCTACTTTCTTCAAACAAACCACATCCTTGGCTTTTTCCACATTGTTTGGATAAATACTTGGAATAGTTCAAACAGTCTTGATACACCGTGGGTGCCTTAATTTCTCAGTTAAAAAAAATAGCTATGAAATACTTAGACTGAGATACCTCTTTTTTTCCTCTAGGTAAACATGACTTCCTAGTAATCCTGTGCCTGGGAGTGGCATCAGCTGCTCTATCTCCTGATCCTACTATGGATGATGAATTGCAAAAGCAGAAGATAAGTGATGAGAAAGCCAACAGGCTGGTTGGTAACATGGGAACTGTCCAAAGCAATTTCAGAGGGAATGGCCTTTGCTGTTAGGATTACAGAGGCATAAAAGAGGCCATAAGGGTCAACCATCACCAAAGAATTGATTAAAGTTGTGAAACTATGAACACAGGGTGGCCTGCATTTCTGAAATTCAGGGTGTGGAGAATGGGTGGCTGTATGTTCTGAGATCCCTCTCCATGGCTCCTCTTGACCTGTGACAGAAAATCCACTTGGTCACCTTGTATGTGAGGTTCATATAAGCAAATACTGGCATTTATGTTTCTTTCTAGAATGAAGAACACAGAAGAGCCATGTGGGATGAGTTTATGAAGAAGTCTGAACTGCACAATAGGGAAAATGGCCAGGAGAAGAATGGCTTCAACGTGGATATGAAGGCCTTTGGTGACCTGGTGAGTGAGACTTGGATGGCTTAACTCGGTGCTTCTTCACTTCAGATCTTTCAGTTAGTCTCTTGGTTTTCAATGTTTTATTTGCTTTTTCCATGACGACTAATGAAGAACTGAAGAAACTAATGACTGACATTTTATACCCAATGTTAGGAGAGAAGGAAAGAATTCAAACACAGCCAGTTGGAGACATCCTTGAAATAGAGGGCTTGGTAGAGCCTGGTGATATGTTTCCCGTGCAGAATAAGGTATGACAGTACCACATTCCTACTCTCAACTGCCCACGGGGAAGCCAGGAAGGAACTGAAGTCCTCGCTTATGTCAGCTGTGGAAAAATATTCAGTTTACTATGTGACTAAGTGTGAAGAGTGAAAAAGTTGATATTTGGTGACAGCCTTTTCTTCTCACTCAGGATAGATATACTGCAGGTTGAGCTTTAAGCATGGCTAGTGCCCTTGAAGGAAAGATGTTCCAGGGGAGGTACTGTGATAAAGCCACAATGCTGCATTCTTTCTAATTAATGCCACCTGTGCTTTGCTTGCAGACAGACTAACATGGATGGCAATATTGGTTTAGGCAAGGAGTGAAGCAACCACTGTGCCTTTGTTTCAAGAGCCTTCTGTCTCAAGATGGGAGCTACCTGATGGTGAAAATCAAGATCTAAACTGGGAGAAGAGGAAGCAGAAAGAGCAGGGGGACTCCCCATCTCAGTTTCCAGCCCATGCTGTATGAGAGCCTACACTCAGGGCACTTAAGATCCACACTCTGATGTGAACTCGAAGGCAAATTCACACTAATAAAACCTTACCAATGGTTTATCTCATGCTCTCAACTCTTTTATGTTAATGATTCTCAGAATAATTTTAAAATTTAACTTGAAAAAAGAATATACAAAGTTATGTCTTTATAATAATGCTTTATTTAAAATGCAATATTCTGTTTTCTGTTTTACTGGTAGTAAATTTTTATGTAGTTAACACACAGTGTTGCTTGAAGGCATAACTGACGTTTGATGGTGTTATGGCAGGAAGTGTGAGTAACCTTTTCCTCAGAGTCAGCATTCCATCCTTGATTAAGCTTTGTTTCCAGGGCTTTAGGTGCATTCTATCGGCAATGACCTGAATGTCAATTTGAACTTTTCTAAAATTTGATGATTTTAATTACATTAACTTGGCAAGTGAAAATTGTTTGTATTCTGTGCAAAAATGTGGTTCCTGATTCTCTTACACTGCACTGCTCCTGTGGTGTGAACCTCTTTCTACTTCAGTTTTTTATATTATAATTATATCACTTCCCCATCCCCTTCCTTCCTACAAATGCTCCTTCCTCTTGCTCACTTTCAATTCATAGTCTCTTTTTTCATTAATGGTTGTTACTTGTGTTCCAAAGTCTGTATAATGCTAATTGTATATATGTTTTCAGGTCAAACTTTTGATATTGAAAAACCAATCACTGCACTCTTCCCTGGGGAAAAACTATCTCTCTCTCAGCATCTCTGAACTGCTACTATCTGTATATCAATTTTCTGCTTATATTTTCATCCAATTTGACTTGAAGAGAACAAATGCATTTTTTTTGAGGAAAATATCCATCTATTCATCCAGTTCTGCCTATAACAAGCATCCCAAAGTCTTCAGGTCTCAATTATCAGACAGACAAGAATTCAGTAAAACTCTAGAGCACAACAAGGAAAAATGGCCAGGCAAATGCTCAGGCATACATTTTCATGTGAGATATCAAAATAGAAAGAAACTTCTGAACACATGCAGAAATTTATATTCTCTGTATTTTCTAAAACAAAGCAACTGTAGTGCTTTCTAATTTTTGTTAAATTTTCTTTGTGATCATAGGCCCAGCTGTGCTAGTCAGTGTAACCATGAGGTCCACACAGTAATTTCCTCATGTCCAGTCTAACCATGTAGGCCACCTAGCTTGGAATGCATGCAGCATCTGCTCTTCGGTTTGGGCATCTCTAGTACTTTTTCTAAACACTATGAAGCCCTGCACTGAAACACTGATGTTCATGCAAGTGCCTCTGTCACCTCTGTTTCTTGCTGGTTATTTCATGCTCTCTGAAGATGCTGCTGTCTGCCAAAGGCTGAGTTTTGGGCAAGGCAGACACAAACAGATACACACTACTTGAAGCTTCTGATGTGCTGTCAGCAGCTTTTCACAATTTGTAGGCCAGCATTTGCTCTTCCTACAGATGCAAAATCTGAGGTGGGACTGTGAGATGCATTAGCTGTCCCCATTGGTGTCATCCTGCCATGATTTTGTTCTCTAAAGACTGTTAATTAAAGAAAACAGAACATCTGTGAGTTCTAGGAGTCTCAGAAAAGCCACATCCTGTATGACACAGCTTGCACCTTGGGTCTGGTTAGTTCCCCAACCATGGTTTCCTGCTTGTAGTATCTGACTCACTAGTCAAGCTGGCTAGTGACTGCTCTGTGAGAGAGGCTGAGGCTCCAGGAAAGGATTTTCCAGTGCCCCAGGCAGGAAAGTGCAGGGCTACAGGCTGCTCTGTTCCTGTACCACTGGCTGTCTTTGTTAGTTGCTTTTAGGAGGGACTGAACAGCCCAGACCTGGTTTTCACCTATGAACAGAAACTGCAGCACTCCAGGTGAGAGCAAAGACAAGGAAGGTATGTAGGCCCTGGATCCTATTGACTGATGCTCCAAAAACATTCTCATAGCTCTGCTCTTATTTCTTAGGTTGTATTATTTGTTTTGTTTTCTTGTCTATTTTTTTGGAGGAGGGCATGGTAATAATAGAATTCCATCGTTGTTCCTTTCCCTTTTTTCCTTCATACCCTCAGAAATACCTTTTCTGAGTCTTTTTAAATTCTATCATCCTTTTTCATTAATTATTATTACATTCACATATAATTCCTAAATATGTATAATTCCACATATATTCCTAAATATAACCTAGTCAGTGTGCATAATATTACTTGTTTGTGTGTATGTTGAGGCTAGTCATGAGGTACTGAACAACCCCTTGGTCTCTAGGTTTTTGAGGCCTGATTAGTGCTGTATTCCTGTTCATCCTTGCTTGGGAATGGCCTCAGCTGCTCCATCTGATCCCAGTTTGGATGCTGAATGGGAAGAATGGAAGATGAAATTTCGAAAAGCCTACAGCCCGGTTGGTAACATGGACACTGTCCAGAGGGATCTCAGAAAGAAGGGCTCTTATTGTTGGGAGTCTGTGGGCCTAAGTGTGGCCATAGAGACCAAGCATCACAAGGCCTAAAGGCATGCACTATGAACTCCAGGTGGTGAGCTTTGCTGTTCCTGTGGGTGGAGAGCACAGCTGGCTGCAGTGTCCTGAGATCCTCATCCTGGCTCCTCTTTCCCTGTCACGACACACCTTGCATGTAGAGTGAATTTGAGAATACACTATCTGTTGTATTTTTCTAGGATGAGGAAGGACACAGAAGAGCCGTGTGGGAAGATAACAAGAAGAAGATAGAGGAGCACAATGAAGAATATGAGCAGGGCAAGACCAGCTTCTTGATGGGCCTGAATGAATTTAGTGACATGGTGACTATCACATGAATTGTTAACATTGTTTCTTTTCTAGAGATTCTTTCTAGTACCTAGTTTGCAATGTTTTATTTGTTTTATTTTGTTTTGTTTTTATGAAGACTCATGAAGAATTCAGGACAAACTGCTGTGGAAAATCAACGTGTACAGAAGAAATGGTTCGTGCTGGTTTCCCTGAGACTGGGGATTTGAGAAAGAGCAGCTCTGTGCCATGAGTGGAGGATCAGAGATGACAGAGTCACATTCCCACCTTCAAATGTCCACATGAAGCCAAAAGGGAACTGAAGTCCACACTTGTGTCAGCTGTGGAAAAACATAAAGCCACTGTTTGACTGAGTGTTCTTCTTTATGAAATGTGGAGAGAGTTTAAATTAGGGTGTCATTGACAACCTTTCCTTCATGATCGAGTACTGTAGTTTGGCATTATATATGGTGAATATAAAGGAAAGGTGCTCTGTACAGGGACAGAGCCATTGTGTGGCAGTCTTTCTAATTAATGTGATATGTGCTTTTATTTCAGCCAGATTAACAGTTGTTGTGACTTCATTGGTAACAATAAGATAGCATAGGAATGAAGAATTTACTCTGCCTTGCCTCAGGAAACTTCTGCCCCTAAATATGAGCTGCACAGTGATGAACAGGCTGGACTAGGAGAAAAACCAGCAGGAGCTCCCTATGCAGTGTCGAGCATGTGCTGTATGAACTATAATATTGAATTCATGTAAGATCAACACTATGATGTGAACTCTGGGGCATATTTATACTAAAAAAATCACTAATTCTTTAATCCATGCTATGAAGTCATTTATATAAATGATTATCACAAGGATTTTTAATTTTTGCTTTAATATAAACAATATAAACCATGCTGGATTTTAAACTCTGTTTCTTTCTAGTTTTGTTTCAGTAAGTTTTTATGTGTTTATACACATAATTCTGCATGAAGGTATGACTGACTGTAGCATTGTATTCTAAGCAAAAGACTGCATGGTTCTCTTAATATACAGTCAGGGTTCCATCCCTGGTTGAGCATGTTTCCAGGGTTTTTGGCAGTGATCTGAAAGTCTGTATGGAAATTTCTAGGATTCCAAATTGTTCATTCCCATGAATTCACCAAATCTAACTGGCAACTGGAAAGCTGCTCAGTGCAGAGATGGCGCCTTCCATTTCAATGCCCTGTTCCTTGACCATGTGTGCCATTTTATATGAATATACAAAATTATATTGGTTGTATATTCATATAAAATGTATATATATATATATTCATACTGATATATTCATACACACATATCAGTGAAATGTACTAGCCATACTGTGATCACATACAACCCATCTCAGCGGGTGATAACGTCTGTGGTCAAAGGAGTGTAGTATCCATTCAAGTGACTTTTTCATAACCCTACTGAGCCCAGGCATACAAAGGTACATGGCTGTCTCTTGCTGCAAACTGCATTCAGCCCAGCCTCAAAAATCATCATATTTCCAGAAATTGTCAATCTCCAAAGTCCAGTGTTTTTCTTAGACTCAAGGAAGTCCATTAACTGTTACTACCTTAAAATTAAATGACAGCACATTACAGGCTTCCAAAAGACAAGTGCACAGAGTATGAATTTCCATTCCAAAATAGAATTATGGAAACATAGCAAGGAACAGCCAAAGCAAAACAAAAATCCATCAGGAAAAGCATCATACACTGAATTTCATAGTTCACACAGATACCTAAGTGCCTCAGCAGTCCCTGTATGATCCCTGTAGGATATGTAAACTCTTTTGTAGGCAGTCTCTTTCTATGGGTTTAGCATTCTTTGGTGGATAGCCCCTGGTTCTGGCCTTCTACCTCCTCTGAACTCCATTCCTAGTTAGATTTCACCTTCCCAGTTCCATGAGCTGCCCCTCAGAACCTGCTTGCAAATGCTCTGACCTGAGAACAAGGGACTACCTCAGTGCCTCTCAGGACCCATGACTCAGGAAACTTTGAGGTTTCCATGCATATAGAAATGGTTCTTCACACACTTCACTGCCTGGTTTTCAGACACTTTTGGATATTAAGTGCATGATTGTCTATGTACTGATAGTAGGATCTCATTTTTCTAGGGAATAGCTTTCCAGAACACCCTAAAGATGCCACAACCAACCCATATCAACTCTCCCGTTGTTAGAGGCACATATTTGAATCTGCAGTGCAGCCACTCCCTTTTCCAGGATTTTAAGACTCAGCAATGACCCTTACAAAAAAAGAAAGAAAGAAAGGAAGAAAGAAAGAGAAAGAAAGAAAGAAAGAAAGAAAGAAAGAAAGAAAGAAAGAAAGAAAGAAAGAAAGAAAGAAAGAAAGAAAGAGAAAGCAGAGAGATATATAGCCAAAGTTTTGAAGGTGCATTACAAGGTAGACTGGAGGTGTTCAGTTGTGACTCTCCTGCTAACTTTCCTACATTAATCTCTGGAGCTCTTCATCTCTGCTCCTTTCTGTATTCTTCTGCCTCTTCACTAGCTAGAGACAAACATTATAGGATGTGAGATGTACTTTACATTCAAACCACAGCAGGAAGTAACACCTGCACATTCGGTAAGTTCCTCTCTGTGACTGAGTGTTATCAAGCAGGATCAGCCTCCTTATATGGAGCATACATTCCTGGCAGAGAATATGTAACTGAGATGTTTATACACAGCTGTTTTTTCTAACTCCCCAAAGCTGTACACATGTCACTCCACACTGCTTTCCTCATGGTGCCAGTTGCATGCCAGGGAACCATGAGTAATACATCTCCCAAAATGGAAGTCATCTCTTACACCTTGACACACAATACTTTTCTCTGAAGGCCTGCCTGAGGCTACTCCCAGCCCTCTGTCATGCAGCAAGTTATTTAATAAATGATTCTTACTTTTCTGGCCTAAAGGGTGAATGTATTCACCATCAACAAATCCTTTTATTGGTTTCCAAAACTTATGATATCGTTCTTCTATTGCAGTGTCCCCTTTCTTATTAAATAACCTAGCTATGCCACCCTGCCAAACATATTTAAATCCAGGACCAATACATCATAATGTCCATATTTTTATCTTTAATATTCTGGTTTTAGTTGCTGAATATAATAATCTCCAGTATCATGGGTTTCCTACAAATGTCATGGTGTCAATTTTTCTGTCTCTGAGGGAAAATCTACTGAGTAAACATATTGTGGGTTTTTTTGTTTGTTTGTTCTGTTTTGTTTTGTTTTGTTTTTGTAATTCATTCATCATTTCATGGATGATGAATGTGTAGGCTGTCCCATCATTTAGATGCTGTGAATGGCACAGCATTGAACACAGGCGTATGAATGTGTCAGGTATGTTGACTTTGCTGCATTTCAGTTATAATTATGTTTTTTGAGAAACCTGCATGCTGAATTCCCATTGGTAACAATCTACATCCCCATTAGCAGTGGACACTGACTCTCTTCTCAGGCTTTCTACTTGTCATGTCCTTTGACTTCCTGATAGCATCAACTCCAACTCAGGTAGAAGACTCTCAAGGCATTTAAATATGCATTTCTCTTATTGTTAAGGACACTGAACTTTTTAAAAACTATTTATAAACCTTCTTAGATAACTCATGGGTTCATTGGCCATTTCTAAGCTAAATTTTTTTAACTTTTATTAATTATACTTTATTCATTTTGTATCCCCCCATAAGCCTCTCCCTCCTGTCCTCCCGGTCCCACCCTCCCCCCCATTTCTGCATGCATGCCCCTCCCCAAGTCTACTGATAGGGGAGGTCCTCCTCTCCTTCCTTCTGATCTTAGTCTATCAGTTCTCATCAGAAGTGGCTGCATTGTCAGGGTTCTAGGTTATCTCCACGGATAGTCCTTGGTTGGAGTATGAGTCTCTGGGAAGTTCCCTATGTTCAAATTTTCTTGTTCTGTTGCTCTCCTTGTGGAGTTCCTGTCCTCTCCAGCTCTTACTGTTTCCCACTTCTTACATAAAATTCCATTCACTCTGCCCGTCAGTTGGCCATCAGGCTCAGCATCTGCTTTGACAGTCTGCGCAGCAGAGACTTTCAGAGGCCCTCTGTGGCAGGTTCCAAGGTGGTTTCCTGTTTTCTTCTGGCTTTCAGAGGCCCTCTGTAGCAGGTTCCGAGGTTGTTTCCTGTTTTCTTTTTATTCTGATGTCCATCCTCTTTGCCTTTCAGGATGGGGATTGAACATATCAGTTAGGGTCCTCTCTTTTGCTTAGTTTGTTTAGATGTACAGATTTTAGTGGGTTTATTCTATGTTGTATGTTTATATGATTGAGTATATACCATGAGTGTCTTTTTGCTTCTGGGACAACTCACTCAGGATGATCCATTCCAGGTCCCACCATTTACCTGCAAATTTCATGATTTCCTTATTTTTCATTGCTGAGTAATACTCCATTGAATAGATGTACCACAGTTTCTGCATCCATTCTTCAGTTGAGGGGCATCTGGGTTGTTTCCAGCTTCTGGCTATTACAAATAAAGCTGCTACAAACATGGTTGAGCAAATGTCCTTTTTGTGTACTTGAGCCTCTTTTGGGTATATGCCTAGGAGTGGCATGGCTGGATCTTGAGGAAGCGCTATTCCTAGTTGTCTGAGAAAGCACCAAATTGATTTCCAGAGTGGTTGTACAAGTTTACATTCCTACCAGCAGTGGAGAAGGGTTCCCCTTTCTCCACAACCTCTCCAGCATGTGTTGTCCCTTGAGTTTTTCATCTTGGCTATTCTGATGGGTGTAAGGTGAAAGCTCAGGGTTGTTTTGATTTGCATTTCCCTAATGGCTAATGAGGTTGAGCATTTCTTTAAATGCTTCTCTGCCATTCGATGTTCCTCTATAGAGAATTCTCTCTTTAGCTCTGTTCCCCATTTTTAAGTGGATTACTTGCTTTGTTGCTTTTCAGCTTCTTTAGTTCTTTATATATAC